ACATACATACATACACATATATCTCAAGTAAATCTAAGAATATAGCTTAAATATTTTATGTTGGAACTCAATTTCATCTTTAAAATTAAATTGATTTTCTTTCTTTGATATAGCTTTTTTATTCATAAAATTTTCCAAGTGTTACGCCATTTGACATGAATATAATACATGGAATATACTTTCTAACTGCATGCTATGAAATTATAAATATTTACTACATTGGCCTAAAGCTGTATTTGTATTTATAATGATTATTTTCTGTTAAATGAAGACTGTTGGAAATCTTTTCCTCTTATGTTTTCTCTCCTCAATTCTGTGCTTTCTCATTTTGAAGCCTACTAGAAGTATGAGGGTGCTGTGTCAGGTATGACATTCAGCCTGTTTTTAACTGATTCTATTCACTTTTGTTACATTACTATTTCTGTAATATAGCAGATAAAACTGGGATTGTTTTATAATAACATGCTTTAAAAGTATTTAAATTGAAAATTTGGGAGTAGAAATTTTATGTCATCAATAGTAAAGTATAATATTAATTAAAAGCATGATACCTATAAAATATGAGTAAAATTATTGCCTTATTTGTGCAGATTTAAAGGTAAATGATTTTCATCTTATAAATTGTTTAATTATCTTTCATTTCCCTTTTATTTTCAGGAGACTTATATTGAAATCCAAACAGAACACTTGCCCCAATTGCTGCTCAGGATGATTTCTGCTCTCACAAGCCATCTCCAGACATTGCGCTCATCTGAGCTCACAGATTCACTCAGGCTCTGCTCAAAGATCCTTAGCAAGGTTCAACCTCCTCTGCTATCTGCTGGTACTGGAGGCATGTTGCAATTTCCAAGTGGGCAGAACAACACAGTCAAGGAATGGGAAGACAAAAAGGTAATCTTAGCTATTATGTTTGGTATTAGACCTTGTATTCTTCAAAGCAAAACAATTTCTGAGTTAAATCACTGTACATCAGCATTAAAATACCAGTGATTCTTTCTTAGTTCCATGTGATGTGGCAATAGACCATATTGTAGGCTTTCTGCCATGATGCCATTTAATAGCCTATATTAATACTTTCCAATACAAATACAACGTGACATATATAATTTTAAATTTTCTGGTAGCTACATTTAAAAAGAAGTAGGTGAAATTATTTTTAATTATATTTTACTTATCCCAGTGTAGCAATACATTATTGTTTCAACTTGTAATCTGTATAAATTTGACAATATATACAAAAGTAATTTGATATAGAAAATATAAGATAGTTTACTGTCTTTAAAGTGATATAGCATATTTTCAAATGCTGTATTATTTTTTCTAATTTTTTTCCAGTACCAGGAATCAAACTCAGGAAATGCTGCATTTTTAACAGAAATACTTTTTATTGAATTTATGAAATTTCCACTTAATCAAAATTACTTACAAAGTTGTTCCAAATATGCTTAGTTTTCTGATAACTAAATTATCAATTTTTAAACTTAAATAGAATTAAAAATTCAGTTTCTCAATCAGTCTTTCCACATTTCAAGTATATGGTAGCCACATGTAGCCATATTAATATGTCTGCCATATTAAACAATGGGTCTGTATCACAACTTTTTTGGTCCTTTTCAGATACAACAAATTTTTCACATGATCTGAAATCCAGGATGTTTTTACTGTCTTCAGTCTTCTAGATGCTTAATACTGTCTTTATGAAATTGAGAATTAAACTTATAATTTTAATTATAAAATTAGTGGTCTGACACCACTAACATACCTGAACACTTACGGAAAAATCAATAATTTAAAAGCTCTTAGGCTTATAATAAAATATTTTAGTAACTATGAATGAAAGCATGCAACTGAATTGTATGATGATTACATTGACTTTAAGCAGTGTCACTATATTAAAACAAAGATTTAAAATTTTTAGAGTACATTGTTAGATTATTGTCTAAATCCTGGGTTTGTGTAATTGCCTTTTTTAAAACCCCTTTAGCTGCCTTTTTTTCCCCAGATAGGCAAAATATAATTTAGGATGACCTCATATAACTTTTCTCATCAGATATTAATCCTAAAACTTTTTTCTAAATGTATTGTTCTTCAATATGAAGTGAAATTACTGACCTTTGGGCATTGTAAATATACTTGAGGTTTAGCCTACATAAATTAAAACTTCTCTTATTTTCCTTCCAACCTGCTTATTATATGTGATACATAATATATACTAATATTAATAATTTTATATACATATATGTTTACCATTGCTGAAAATTTTATTTTCTAGTAAATTTCCCTTAAATTGTGCTCCTGAAATTTTCTTAGAAATGAAACTAAAATAGATATTAACTAGTACTGAAGTTTTAGTTTTCGTTTGAATGAAATTAATGGGAGTAGGAGAATCAAGGCCCTTGGTGTCTTTTCAATAGCATATTCAAATCTTTGAATATCTCCAATATAGTAAACCTTCAAAGACCCTCATTGGTGGTTATAGATAAGGTAAAAAGTAATAGCCACTCCTATTAAATGAATGATAATTAATGTACTCTCCTAAAATTATAATGCCATTAACCTTCGAGTGTGCCTTTTCCCTTCTGTCTCTGCTTTTCTTCTATGCCCCCAGACCATGTATATTTTTCTGTTTTTTACTGAAGTATGATGGTATTAGATGTCTGAAAATGATCATATTTAAAGGTTGAGTGTTTTCTGTTTTCTTTTTTAGAAAGTGTAAATAAAGGATTGACAATATTTTTTTAAATCTAATTTGATTCTGTGTACTTTGTGTATTTTTGTAAAATCTATGTATTGGATCTCTATGCCCAAATGCCCAAAACCTCATTTATTTCTATTTTCAAAAGAACATTGTATTATCAAATGATTATATATATTACAATATTACAATATATATTATATGTTTATCTGTGTAATATAGTCCATTGCAGTAAATATTATGTTTACAAATAAACTGGATTGTAACTGGAATTCTTTAAATTAATATCACCCATTGATGATTATTTTATTACAGAAGATTAATATAGAAATAATTTTATAGTCATAATCATAGTTTTATCATTTAAATTTATTTTTACATGATTTTTTCAAAAGAAAAAAATTATCATTCAACTTTGATAATCACCTCTAAACTTTGGAATAATATGAAAAGCTGATTACCTGTGGTGAAATAAATGTGAAGTTTAAAATTGCCTCATCTGAGCTCTTCTACTAATTCCTAAGCTTCTATAACCTTGGGCAAGTTTTGGTTTTTGTTTCATTGTGTGTGTTGCTTTTTTTTAACCTCACTGAGCCTCAGTTTTCTTATCTTTCAAATAAAATAGAAAATTAGGTAGCTTCTCAACCCTTTCTAGTTGGCCGACACATATAACAAGTGATTTCACACTTAATTATAGTTCCAATTAATGTATAAAAGAAAGTATGGAGAGAATTGTGGAAAATGGGATGACCTGACATAGGCCAAGGGCTAATGATGGCTTTCTTGAGGAAGTGAAGCCCTGGAGAAATTTGGTGGGGTGGAGGTGAGGTAGAAAAGATAGAGCATGGGGCAGAGAAGGGAGTATTTGCAACAACTGAGGCAGGAAGGAACACTGCAGATGGGGTAATAACAGCTTTGAGGGAGACAGAAGGCAGGTTTTACAGAGCCTTGTTCACTGTACTAAGGCTTTTATTCTTTATCTTAGGAGCAATGGGAAGACACTGAAGGGAAAAGGCAAGTGACATAATCAGATTTGTGTATTAGAAAAATTACTCTGGCTGCAGTGTGGAATATGGATCTGAGAAACAAAAATGGATGTGGGGAGACCTGCAGTAGTGCAGGTGAGAGGTGGTGGTATTTGTGCTAAGATGCGGGGAGTAAAGACAGAAATTGATGGGTTAGCAATATGTTTAGGAAGACAAAAAGATTTAGTAATAGATGGTAAGGATAATGAGTGATCACTAATATTTACTGAGTGTTTAACCATGTACTAGGTGCCTTATATCTACCATTATTACTTAATCCTAGTAACAACTGTAAACTTTAGGAATTTGTGTCTTCTCAATTACAGTGGTCCTCCTTATCCATAGTTTCTCTTTGCAGTTTCAGTGACCAGTGGTCAACAATGTTCCTAATATATTAAATGGAAAATTTCATGAATTTTTCATAAAATTGATGTGCTGCTCTGAGTATCACAATTAAATCTCACATCATCTTTCTTTGTCCTGCCTAATATATGAATCATCCCTTTGTCTAGTGTGTTCACACTGTATATAGTATTACCCATTAGTCATTTAGTAGCTGTCTTGGTTATCAGATGGACTGTTCTTTTGTTCAAGTAATCCTTATGCAGTAGCCTAAGACTATATCACGTGCCTACATCTTTCATCTCATTTCATGTTATCATGTAGGCATTGTTTCATGTTGCTTCATCACAAGAAGGGTGAGTACAGTACAGTTGGATGTTTTGAGAGCAAGAGCAACCACATTCATATGACTTTCATTACAATGTATTAGAATAATTGTTCTATGATTAATTTCACATTATGCCCATGTTATAAATTAAACTATCATAGGTATGTGTATATATAGGAAAAAGCTTAGTATAAATAAGGTTCAGTACTATCCATACTATCAAACATCACTAGGGGTCCTGCACCATATACCCCATGGATGGGGGCACCTACTGTATACAAATAGAAAACTGAGGTTTGGAGAGGTTAAATAACTTGCCAAGCTTACATAGAGAACAGTAGAGCTCCGGCTTACTTGGCACCCACACCCTTAACCACTGTACTGATGTGGGAGAAATGCGGAAGGGGAGGAGAGGTGATGAAGGTGCCAAGAAGATCCCTAGGTCTCTGCTAACCAGCTTTGATACATGGTAGTGTCATTCATTGAAACAAGGGACCTTAGGTAAGGTCCAGCTTTGGGCAGCAAAGCATTTAGTTAATGTATTAATAAAATCACTTTTCATAATCTTATTTGAGTTATACCCTGACCCAGTTACCCAAGGAATGTGTGATATGCACATCTTTGTTTATTTAAACTGTGACAATAAATATCCTTAATGACTGTTCTTATCCTTTTTACCAAGGGAAAGTTTAATACATTCCAGTCCTACTCTAGGAACTGGTTTATTTGTATTGTAATTAATTGTTGCCCTTTAAATTACAGTACTGCTTATCTACCTACTACCTAATACAGTGTCTACCACATATGAATTTAGTTACTATTTTGTAAAAGAATGTAAGATCAATAGCAAACATTGAACTTGTACTTTGTATATTTTAACCAAAGTTTACATGCATGTGGTTCTGAACAGATAACCTATTGATTTTATTCCTAGTTTTTAAAATGTCATTTTTTAATCTTATATGTCTCTCTCTCTGAATGTTTTCAACATTAGGAAAGTGATTTTATTAAATAGATGAAATAAATTGTTAGACATTTGAAAATAATACATATCCTAAAGATCTTAACCTTGTGTGTGTGTATAAATGATGAATGATAAATACTTGGTAAATGCATAAATGTATATTCATAAGAATCACATTAATATCTGCTTATCATAAACATGAATGAATGTATGAACTCTTTTCAAATTCAACAGAATGTAAACTAATCTGTCTATAATCTGATCTAAAACTTCCCTAAAAAGATGACCATTTCTACTTCCTAATACGTATATATGTATGTACTCAACCTTTTGCTTTTTTAAAAATCTGTCAGGTAGCATCAGTTTCTCTGGAAAATCCTACTGATGTGTTTGAAGATGGAGAAAACCCACCAAGTAGTCAATCATCAGAAAGTGGCTTCACTGAGTTTATACAGTATCAAGCAGACCGAACTGATGACATTGACAGAGAAATGAATGAAGGGCAGGGGGCAACTGCCATCCCAATTGGTAGCACGTCCTCTGAGACAGAAACAGCATCTACTGTGGGATCTGAGGAAACCATTGTCCAGCCCCCTTCCACGTTCACACAGGGGACAGCAACCCGAAGTGGGAAGACAGCCCAAAAGACTGCAATGCAGTGCTGCTTGGAGTATGTTCAACAGTTTCTTACCCGACTCATCAACCTCTATATCGTTCAGAGTAACTCTTTTTCTCATGCATTGGCTACAGAGCATCAAGGGGATCTCAGTCCAATGCAAGGAGGCACTTCAAAATGGGACAGGGATTCACAAGGAGATGTAAAAGAGAGTAACATATGTAAACAAAAAACTTCAAAAGAATACCTTTCTGCCTTCCTTGCTGCCTGCCAGCTCTTCCTAGAGTGCTCAAGTTTCCCAGTTTATATTGCTGAGGGGAACCATACATCAGAATTAAGTTCTGAAAAAGTAGAGAGTGGTAAGATCATCTCTGTTTTGTTTATATTGGGATATTTATGTAGAATGTTCTGTTTTAAAGATGCAGATATTAAAAACTGGATTTTTAGCCTAGTTTTAATTTTAACTGTCATTTTGACTAGAATTACTTGAATTAAATAACCATGGAGAAATTGCTGTTAGAAGACTGACTTTGATGACTTTCACAGTTTGGTTACAAGTCTAGAGAAATGAAATATAACATTAAATCCGCTGGTTTCCTTTATTATAACAGCATCATATGTGTTTACCTTTATTTAAATTGTTCTGTATATATATATGGAGTGCAGTGAGTGCTCGATAACATTTGTTGATAAATAAACTTTTTAGTACAGGAAAAGAGATGTAAGACTTGGCATAAGAGAAATGTATACTGAAAAAAGTTTATGAAATTCTCTTTGCTATTTTCTTAAAGTTCTAAACTAAAAGGGAAACCATGATTTTGTTAACAAATCATTGTCTAAAGGAATGAAGTAGAGTTTGCAAAAAAAAATTAACTTACAATGTATGTAAAGTGTTTCATATAGTGAGCACTGATTACTTTCCTCTTTTGTTTCAGACTGTGAGCATGTACAGCCTCCACAGTGGCTCCAGACTCTGATGAATGCTTGCAGCCAAGCAAGTGATTTCAGTGTTCAGAGTGTTGCTGTTTCATTAGTCATGGACCTCGTGGGACTGACTCAATCTGTGGCCATGGTCACTGGGGAGAACATTAATAGCATGGAGTCTGCACAACCGTTAAGTCCAAACCAGGGAAGAGTTGCCGTGGTTATTAGACCCCCCCTCACTCAAGGCAATCTGAGATACATAGCTGAGAAGACTGAATTTTTTAAGGTAAATTCTAAGTATTAGTATTATTGTGCCCCTCTAGATATTTCCTCCTGCTAGATTCAGCTTGATTACTATAATGTTGTGGTTGTGAACATCCCAAAGATTTTTACATTGTATTAATACTGTCACAGATCTGGTACTGTGTTTACACATGTAGCTCCAAAACATATATGATTTATTTTATAAATTCTTTGCGCTGGGGGTATAGCTCAGTGGTAGAGTACTTGCCTAGCATGAATCAGCTCCTGGGTTTAATCCCCAGCACATGCAACAAGCATGCAAATTTTTAAAAAGTACAATAGTTCAGATATTTGGATATGAATTACATTTCACTCTGTAATATATAATCAAAAATTAAATTATATTCAACTTGGGATTTTTATCCTATTAAAGTTGATGTATTCTAGCATTATTTTATTATCACTAAAATAGTGAAACAGGTTTTGTCTGGACCGTGTAGAACATTCTTATTACATTTCTAATGTTAAAAAGAAATAATATTTAAGGATCATCCTGAATGTTTGAGTTCTTATGTGACCAGAAATAGAGAAGTCCAAGGCTTTACTTTTAAATCTCACACCAGTGGTATGGTGAAGTTTCATGTCTGGCAGTCAGAGACCATGTATTAGTTTGTACTTAATAGAATATGTTTGTTAAATAAACTTTTAGGCATGGTTTTATAACAATCACTTTTATATCTTTTTCTACAGCATGTAGCTTTGACTTTGTGGGACCAACTAGGAGATGGGACACCTCAGCACCACCAGAAGAGTGTGGAACTATTTTATCAATTACATAACTTAGTCCCTTCTTCTAGCATCTGTGAAGATGTTATAAGTCAGCAGCTAACACATAAAGACAAGGTAAATTCTCCTTTTCTCATCCTGTGTATACAGTATGCACACATTATACTAAGAGGTAAATTAAGAAAACTCTAGGAAAATTATTCAATCAAATACATGGATAAGAAATAATATAGCTTTGTTCAGAGTGATATTAGTATCTTTAAATATCTTATTCTGATCCTTCTACAGGGAGTTCTTTATAAAAACATCAATAATATAAAAAATGAAATAATCCAAAATCAAATGCTGGATTTCTTTCTTGGTTTAGGACATCAGTATAGGTAATGTTTTTCTCGGTTATTTAGAGAAGAATAAGTGTCTTCAGTTATGAAAGTGATATATATATATTAACTGTAATACATGTGAGGTGAAATAATGTGGGTTTTACATTTATAAGTTTTATTTTAGCTGTTTATGTACCAATATGTGAGATTATATTTGCCTTGTAAATATATCCAAAATAGAAGTCATGCATTCTAACATATATCAAGTGATACATAAGTTAGTTATGATACCTGAGTTATAGGTAGGCCGGAAAGAGGCAAATTATTTTGATTGATGTCTTCAGGGCAATTTAGAGAAGTTTGTGGTCTTGAAAGTCGTCATGTTGAGTAAATAAAAGATTTAGCAGAGGGGAAAGTGATGAATAAAGGAGTAAATGAGAGGAATAAAAAGTGTTACAATTCTATATCTGCTTCACCATATTCTTTCAAAATTATTCAGATATAAAATCTTAAATCCTGGGGTTGTTTTTTGAGATCATATCTCACTGAGCTGCCCAGGCTCTTCTCAGATGTGATCTTACCTTGGCCTCCTGAATAGTTCTGTACTATCAGCAAAATCCTGCATTTTAACAGTTTGTGTTTTTACATTAAATATAAATCCAGGACAAATTATTTAATAGTCTTTACTTGTGTCACATTTCACTTTTAAAGAAATACTTCTAAGCTCATATATATACAATATATATGTATGTATATTTATCTCCATGAATGTTTTCTGTTAATGTATAAGCACAGGCTTCATAAGAATAGCATTTAATAAACCCACAGAAGAAGCAAACCCTTTTCTAACTTATATGCAGTTTAAACAGTTGCAATCTGGTTTCTTCTTATGGCTTTTGTTTCTGGGACTCCACAAGTCCCTTTGATTTTACTAAAATCACTTTATATTTTTAAGAGAGAATAAAATAACTTAATCTCCCATGTTCCTCTTCAGAAAATAAGAATGGAAGCACATGCAAAGTTTGCAGTTCTTTGGCATCTAACAAGGGATCTCCACATAAATAAGTCATCTTTTGCACGCTCTTTTGACAGGTCGGTTATATTTTATATTCAGATGTTATGGTCAGATAGGTTATTGTCTCTTAGTCATCTGTCTAGTTGACCCGGGTAAGAGATAGAAATTTACAAATTTTTGAAGATTTTTTTTTAAAAAGTCTGAGCTATATTAATTTGCATGAAAGTCCCATTTATCCATCAGATTTTCCTTTCCTAGCTCAAGAGTACCCAAGTGTCCCTTCCTTTCATTGGAGCATGATTCATCGTCCCTACTATGTACCAGGTATCATTTTCACTGCTGGGAATACAGCGCTTGATACAGCCATTCTTGATGCTATATTCATATACAATGAAACTGCATGTAAACACTGTGTTTTTAAGTGTTTCTCAAGCAATTATTTTTGGTCTTATGCTTGAACTGGACTTACTAAAGTCTATAATTATGTGCTCACTTAGACAGCACATATACTGAAATCTATAATTGAAAGCACTGGCATACATACCCCTTTAATAGAATTAGAGAACCTGTAGTACTAAAAAGTAGTTTTTCTTTTTGCCTAGTTTTGAAATCTACTTAAATAAGTCATACTTTGAATATAAAATTTGCATTATCTTCTAAGGAACTGCCATTTATTGGTATACTCACATATTGTCAAAATATAGCACTCACATCAGGTCTCATAGAAGTAGCCACAAATTAACTATCGTTAAAGCCCATTTTAGGATCAGATGCATGCTCTACTGGACATTATATTTCAGCTGATGATTTTTTAGCCAGCATCACCATTTTTAATTTGTCTGCTATTGAAGCATACGTTAAACCCCTGCAATGAACTAGACCCTGAGCTAGGTACTGAACAAATAACCATTTCTAATTTGACAGTCATCCTACCTCATCTTACAAGCAAAGCATTGGAAGCCCAGAGAAGTTAAGTTGTTTGCCAAAGACCACATACCATATTTGCATCTTTACTTTTCTAACTCCAAACTATACCTCCATACTTTTCACAGATCTTTCCTTGAATTAAGCAGATAGCTTTGACTTTGGAAGAGAATGAGAGGAGAGTATCACTGATCAGCATGGAAATCATGTTGATTTGCAGTAGCTTCAATATTTGATAAACTGAAACAAAACTAAATAAGTTTTTTCCTATTCTTTATTTTTCATTTTATAAAAGTAATGTAGGCTTGTGTACACAGAAGTATATAAAAAGGGAAGAATTATTTTCTCCTTTTTCATTGTATCTGTTAAGATATAATACTCTGGAAAAAATTTTTCTGAAAGCATAATTACCTTAAAATAGTAAAATACTTAATAGTTAATGAAAAGCAATTTATAATAGTAATTGAAGAAAATTATAGTGTTATAATTAAAGGTGTTTTGTTCTTTAATTATTGATGTTTACTTTAGGTCGTTATTCATCATGTTGGATAGCCTTAACAGTCTCGATGGTTCTACTAGCTCTATGGGTCAAGCCTGGCTGAACCAAGTCCTTCAAAGGCATGATATCGCAAGAGTTTTAGAACCATTGCTATTGCTCTTGCTTCATCCAAAAACTCAGAGAGTTTCAGTGCAGCGTGTACAAGCAGAACGTTACTGGAATAAGATTCCCTGTTATCCAGGAGAGGAGAGTGATAAGCATTTCATGCAAAATTTTGCCTGCAGCAATGGTAAATATCACCTGGAAGTAGAATGCCTCTATTAGAATTAAATTATTAAAACAAAATGAGGTGTAAACACAGCACTGATTGGCAAAGAATTGCATGTGTGATTTTCTCTGTGGCTTATTTCCTTTTCATGCATTAGCAGTGCAGTGTGGATGATGTCATAATGTGCTTCATTGATGACCTTAGAATTCTGAGGATCTCTTTTTTCAGTTAACTTTCTCAGCAGGGCAATCAGCCACAGCTGTGGTCAGAGATGTTTTATAATTTTGGTGAAAATATCTTAACATATTTAGCAATCCTCATCCTGCAACAGGTCTGCAGATACTACACTGGGAATTTATAATAACCCTGTAATGCACATTTTATTTGATTTTTTTCACTTTCTATAAAATAGGAATAATAATATTCACCATGCAAGGCTTTGTTATGTACTTTAAATGTAGTCATTAAATGTGACATGCTTGATAAATATTTGATATTCTGGCTGGGGATTTAGCTTAGCGGTTCCAGTGCCTGCCTCAGAAGCATAAGGACCTGAGTTCAATCCCCAGTACAAAACAAAAAACAAAAAACAAAACGATATTCTTACAACATCCACACTTTACAAACTCTTGCGTGATGGCCTCGATACAATGATAATGGCCCTTTATTATATTTAAGGAACAAATGACTCACATGTCTTATTTATATCCCTTGACAAATAACCTCATGAGGTCAGTAATAAAAAGGTAATTTTACCAAGCAGACTGCTGATGTTCAGGAGAACTATGGTTTTCTCAAAGTCTCATGGCTGGTAAATGACGAGGCTGGAACCAAACCACCATATTTCTGCTCTATCTCTAGTGTTTTTCTATAAGGCTTTTGTTCCTTCCTCAGGTTTCCTTTACACCACTTAGTATGGATAATCTATGAACTTACTGTACTCAGCTTATTGCCAGAATATCCTGGCGGTAGCCCTTTATCTGCCCCAGACCCTGTCTGGTGAATTCTACTTCTTCTCTGAGCTCCATCTCAGACCTTCCTGTCATATCATGAATTTGATAGCATTTGGTTTGTATTACTGATATGGCACTGAGCCTTCCAACTTCTCCCAAAGAATGCCATCAATACTGCATGCTGCCAAAAAAAGTACAGAAGTAGGTGACTGTATTGGCGGTTTCCTGCTAATTTTAACATACTCACTACAGGGCCATAATTTTTATTTCTCACTGTTGGATGGCTCTGAACTATAGGTGGTACAAACCTCCTGATGGGACAGTCATAGGTGTACCACCCATAGTTCAAGCCAGCCAAAACATGTTGAACTTCTTAAAGAGGAACAATGATATGTCTCCTTATTTTTTTCAGGTTATAGTCTTACAGGTACTAGATAATTCATTAATCTTCATTGAGTTTTACTAAAATCAAGATAATTGTCTTTTTATATATTTGCCTATATATTAAAATGTTTGGATTCTTTGAAACAATGTAAGAAAAGGACAGTATACAGGGAGGAAAAAAAAGTTCAACCTGTTGTAAAAAGAATGTCTTTTTTTAGGAAAAGACAATTTTTATATTTTGTCTGTTAAATATACTGTTATATTCTTAATGGTCATTTTATCATTTTCTGACTCAAAGTCTAAAATGATAAAATAAGAAAATGTGAGTAGGTGATTAAAGTGATTAAAAATTTTGCATTCAATTTACCTTTCCACATTTCAATTATTTTAATACATTTTGGGTTTTTTTTTCCCCTCTTTTACTATTTTTGTCATATGCCAGTAAATCAACTGCAGCTCATTACATCAAAAGGAAATGGTGAAAAGCCACTTACCATGGATGAAATAGAGAACTTCAGTCTCACTGTTAATCCATTGAGTGATAGACTTTCCCTCCTAAGTACCAGCAGTGAAACAATTCCAATGGTTTTTTCTGATTTTGATCTTCCAGACCAACAAATAGAAATTCTTCAGAGTTCTGACTCTGGATGTTCACAGTCCTCTGCTGGGGACAACTTGAGTTATGAAATTGATCCTGAAAATGTGAATGCCCAGGAGGACTCTCACATGCCAAAAGCAAGGTCCCCAGATGATGATGTTCAACAGGTAGTGTTTGACCTGATATGTAAAGTTGTAAGCGACCTTGAAGCAGAATCTGCATCAATTACATCTGAATTAGAAGTTGAAATTCTGCCTCCAAACGGTGGTGATTTATATCTAAATGAAGAGGCAATTAAAAATGAAGATCAGTCCACTCAGCAAAGCCAAAGTTCTTTGCTAAGTAATGACAGTCCTCAATTTCTGTCTGTGTCTGCAGAGGAATGCCATGAGTATTTCTTGGCAAATGGAATTTCCAGAAATAGCTCTTCACCTTGTATTACAGGAAGCACACAGACTCTCCAGGATTCTTCTGTTGCCTCCACAGAAACCAAATCTAGACAAAGGAGTCACAGTAGTATTCAGTTGAGCTTCAAAGAAAAGTTATCAGAAAAGGTCTCAGAGAAAGAAACAATTGTTAAGGAATCAGGTAAACAACCAGGAGCAAAACCGAAAGTAAAACTTGCCAGGAAAAAGGATGATGACAAGAAAAAACCATCAAATGAAAAACTAAAACAAACCAGTGTATTCTTCAGTGATGGTCTGGATTTAGAGAATTGGTACAGCTGTGGAGAAGGAGAAATTTCTGAAATTGAAAGTGACTTGGGCTCTCCAGGATCACGGAAATCTCCCAATTTCAATATCCATCCTCTTTATCAACATGTGCTCCTATATCTCCAGTTGTACGATTCATCAAGGACTCTATATGCTTTCTCTGCCATCAAAGCCATCTTAAAAACTAACCCTATTGCTTTTGTAAATGCCATTTCAACCACTAGTGTAAATAATGTGTATACACCTCAGTTGTCTCTGCTTCAGAATCTATTGGCCAGACACCGGATCTCTGTTATGGGCAAAGACTTTTATAGTCACATTCCACTGGACTCCAATCATAACTTTCGGAGTTCTATGTATATAGAAATTCTTATTTCCCTCTGTTTATATTACGTGCGTAGCCATTATCCAACTCATGTCAAGGTCACTGCCCAGGATTTAATAGGCAATCGAAACATGCAGATGATGAGCATAGAAATTTTGACTCTCCTCTTTACTGAGCTGGCAAAAGTAATCGAAAACTCCACAAAAGGTTTCCCAAGTTTTATCTCTGATATGTTATCAAAATGCAAAGTTCAGAAAGTGATTCTTCATTGTTTGCTGTCATCTATCTTCAGTGCACAAAAATGGCATACTGAAAAAATGGCAGGTAAGAACTTGGTTGCTGTGGAGGAAGGCTTCTCAGAGGACAGCCTTATCAATTTCTCAGAAGATGAATTCGACAATGGCAGCACACTTCAGTCACAACTACTTAGGGTGCTTCAGAGGCTGATTGTTCTAGAACATCGAGTAATGACCATTCCCGAAGAGAATGAAACAGGTTTTGATTTTGTTGTAACTGACCTGGAACACATCAGTCCCCATCAACCCATGACTTCTCTTCAGTATTTGCAGGCTCAGCCAATTACATGTCAAGGCATGTTCCTCTGTGCAGTGATACGAGCTTTGCATCAACACTGTGTGTGTAAGATGCACCCACAGTGGATTGGTTTAATCACATCTACTCTGCCTTACATGGGAAAAGTCCTACAGAGAGTGGTTGTCTCTGTGACACTACAACTGTGCAGAAATTTGGACAATCTTATTCAGCAGTACAAATATGAAACAGGATTATCTGATAGTAGGTAAGGTTTTTTTTTTAACTTTGTTGTCATCGACATTTTTCATATATATGACTCTGCTTAAATGTCCAAAAAGTCACAGGTAGGCCTGAGGACCTTTAGTGGAAAAATACGTGTTTAGCATGCATTGAAATTCTAATCCCCAGAACCACACACACTCAAAAAGTAAATTAGTGGTTTTCAGTAGTTCATAATTAGCATGTTAATGTATTTTTTTTCAGAGTATATGGTTTATTATCCATATGTAGATTCAGATGAAATTTTGCCTTGATAAGCTTCATGGAAATTCTTTTCAATGATTACTCTCACATTTCAGTAGCACTGTATACATTTTATGGCTCAAGTTCTATAAGCGAATATTTTAATATTTGTAGGCTAATTTTACTTTCAATCATTTTAAGCTAAGCCACAAAATCTACAGTGGAATGATTTATGTTCAGGACACTCTGCTAGGTTCTGTGTGTGAGGAACAGAAGTGTTATGTCAATATTTGCTTAATATATGAATATTTGTTTCAACTGAAAGTAGCACATACATTTTAAAAAATATTTTAGCAAGATACTTTTTCTTCTATTATAAAAGTAATCTTACAGATTCTGGTTATATTGACTTTTACTTCTCAATCAGTTTTAGTAAGTGTTTTAGAGCTAAAGTAATAAAGCACCCAAAATTGAGTGGCTTAAAACAATAGAAACTGTCTTGTGATTCTAGAGTCCAGAAGTCCAAAATAAAGGTGTCAGCAGAGCCATGCTACCTCTAAAACTGTAGGGATTTCCTTCCTTGTCTCTGTCTAGCTTCCAGTCCTTTATTAGCCATCTCTAGCCTTGTAGTTGCATAACTAACCTTTGCCTGGCCTCACATGCCATAGCATGTTATTTTCATGAAGAAGAAAATTCAGCTTAAGAAAGAGTATCAAAGAATATAGAATAGAAGAGGGAAAGAATACTTAAGCCTTTTCCCTCCCAAGGGCTGAAATTAATTTAGAAGATTGTGTTAGTCAGATTTCTTGATGCTGTGACAAAGTACCTGACACCCATAGCATAAACGCGAAGAGGCTTATTGTGCGTCAAGTTTTGAAAGAATTAATCCATACTGGCTGGCTCCAAGAAACAGAGATAGTGGAAGACCGTAGCTGCTTGTTTGATGATAGCCAAGAAGCACAGCACAGGGGAAAAGTACCAGCAAGAGATGAGCCTTCCAAAGGCACTTCCCCATTGGCCTGCCTCCAACCTGGCCCCATCTCCCAGTACCATATTGATCTTATGAACATGAGTGGATTAATCCACTAATGAGTATAGTGCCCTTATGATCCAGTTATCCAGGAGTCTGAATCCAGTCAAGCTGACAAGATTAAGTGGCCCCGTGGTTGTCTTGACTTAGCTGGAAGAAGTAATAGAAAGTTCTGCGAAGGGTTTTCCTACTTTTACCTCTTACCCCCCTAAGTGCAAATTAATTTGAAACTGAAATTTACAAGTAATTCTGTTTTCACCTAATTTTGCTTCTTGTTTTGGATTTTCCTGGTTGGACATAAACTATGTTTCTCCAAGCCATGTTCAAAACTAAGCCAGATGTTTAGTAGGTGGATATCTGATTTTCTTATATAACATTAGCTACCTCATCAGCTAGCGAGAAAACTGCCTGTATTATTTAATACAGTATTGATATACCTTCTGATATACCTTCCATTTGCTAGTAGTTAGACGTTTTCTGGCTATATATGTTTATTTTATATAGAATTTTTTTTTTTACAAAATACTTTAACCAACACAAGTCTTTCTTTTCAACAAAGATAAATCAGTAGTATAAATGAAACTAATTAGCATATATATTGAAATAGTTTTAAACCGATGGAATTTATAGTTTGGAGAAATTTTTGAACTTCTGTTTCCTATTTATTTCTCTTCTGTTTTGTTCTTTGTGTTTCTCATATAAGAGAAACTCTGTGATATTTGTGGTTGTGTCCGATTTATATATAAATATGTAAAGTATGTGTGCCTGTGTTTATATTATCTATACATACACACTATGTACATAAAGGGAATTGTAGACTTTTTGCCTAAAAATCCTGCCCCCCCCAATTCTTTAACCAAAAGAAACTATATACTACATTTAAACTAATTCATTTATTTTATAGATTAGAAAATAAATCCCCTAATTTATTCTTTTAGTCATTTCTTCATTTATTTACTGAGCACCTGTTGTTTGCCTGGCAAATGCTGGATATTTACTAGTGATAAAATATGACCTGTGCTTTCACACAACTGTGTTCAGATGAATATATGTCATTTCAGGCCTCTGTGGATGGCGTCAATCATTCCACCAGATATGATTCTTACTCTCTTGGAAGGGATCACAGCCATTATCCATTACTGTTTGTTAGATCCAACTACACAGTATCACCAAGTAAGATTATATAAAAACTTGACTCCTTTTTAAAAACTATGTGCTTTAGTAAGTCCCAACTTGTAAACTTAAATGTTTTCTTTCCTCATTTTTAATAGCTTTTCGTCAATGTAGACCAAAAACACTTGTTTAAAGCGCGCAGTGGAATACTCTCAATCCTTCACATGATCATGTCCTCTGTGACATTGCTTTGGAGTATACTGCATCAGGCTGATGCTTCAGAAAAGATGACTGTTGCCGCATCTGCATCTGTTACCACTATTAACCTTGGAGCTACAAAGGTTAGACAATTCACAATCTAGTGCTCAAAAGTCTACTTGAGGACTTTGTCCAGATTATATTGAGAATTTATGCATAATTAAGAGAATTATGGTACTCTGCATAGCGTAATTACCAAATAGCAATTTTATTGAGATACTGTTGACATCACAGGATTCACCCAAGTATACAAATCTGTGATATTTTATAAGTAGATTTATAAAATTGAAGCTATACAATCCAATTTTCAGTCGTATTCTTCACTACAAAAAGATTCTGTATACCCATTTATACTCACTTCCTGTTCCCATCCCTACCCCCCCACCCACTGCTATTATCCTAATCTAAGGATTTGATATATCTGGGTATTTCATAGAAATGAGGAAATACAATATTTGGTCTTTTTTGTATAGTTTCTTTCATTGAAGTTCATTTATACATGTTATAATGTTCCATTTTAAAAGGACATTATAAGTTTTTATATTTTAATAAAACCCTTTTGGGAAAGTTTTTATCAATGTGTACAAAGAACTTTTAAGTTTCATAATTTTTGATCTAATCTGCTTTAGAAATGAATTCTAAGGTAATCAAAGTTAGACATATTGTTCATTGTAGCATTTAATGGAAAATATCCTGAATGATGAATAGGGAAGTGATTATCTTCTCATTCTTACATCATTTAGCCACTAAAGTTTGAAGAATTCTCACCAGGGATTTCGCTCAATGGTGTCGCCGCCTGCCTCACAAGCACAAGGGCCTGAGTTTGATCCCTGATAACAAAAAAAAAAAAAAAAAAAAAAAAATTTCTCACTGGATAGGAAAGTGCTCAAAAGTGCAGTGAAATAGAGATGTTAAATTTTAGTTATGTAAAAAAATTTCTCTGCAAAAAAAGGAATAAAACTCACCTATTCAGAGTGATTATCTCACAGTTGTTTTCTTCTTTGTACTCTGGGATTTTTCAAATTTTCAGCTTTATATTTTCAACAATTTGAATATTGTCATTATTTGTCAGGTTGACATTTCTCAATAACCTAATTTATTCTTGGGCCTCACCACTTAGCTCTGGCACTTGTAGAAACAAGGAATTGTGGGTAGGGGAAAACTAAGAGCCACAAGAACCTGTAATCTAAGTACCTATGTTTAAACTATATTTTTTATGTTCATTCTACATGAAAATAAAACATAAAGGGTGCTTTATAAAATGTCCCACTTTTTTAAGCTTCTAAAATATAATAAATTGAATTTCAAATGTGTTTTTCTAGTATCTCATCACAGTGATTAGATTTACATTTGGTTCATTGGTAGTTGCCATTATTTATAGGGTTTCTTTCAGAATTAAAATAGATACATTGTAACTCTAAACTATTAAAGGTCCCTGTATGTACTACTTAGGTAGTAATACAAATAAGTAACATATATTATTCATGAAAAACTAAAGATTAAGTGTGGTTATTGTTGTTTTCATAGTTTTTCACTTGTCATTTGTTTAAATTATTTTAGAACTTGAGACAACAGATCCTTGAATTATTGGGTCCTATTTCAATGAATCATGGTGTTCACTTTATGGCTGCCATTGCATTTGTATGGAATGAAAGAAGACAGAACAAAACCACTATCCGAACCAAGGTATCTATTTAACTATTTAGTACTTTTTGTTTTTCTCATTGGTAATTACAGTTCTGCTTGGTGAGTACATGCTGGTTAAATTCTCCAAAAGTTGCAGTGAGGCTGAAGTAGGTGGAAAAGGAAAAGTTTGCCTAGAGGTTAAATGACTTATTGTCTAAATTTTTTATTTTAGTAGTGAGGTTATGGCTCAGTGGTAAAGTGCTTGTTCTAAAATGCATGAGGACCAAGGTTCAATATCTAATATTGCAAAACCCAAAAAAGTATTATTTAATGTGAAAAAATGAGAATTTAGTATGATATTAAAACTCACTATATTTTAGATCAAAATTGTTCTATGATACAGTATTTCTTTAAATGCTATTCATTCCAGTAATAAGAATACAAATAAAATTTTTTAATGCAGTGTGATAATTCAGTCAGTTACTGTTTCTAAATGTAATTCATTTGGTTTTGATTGAATTATATATGAAAAATTTTGCTGCTTGCTTTGTGAGTTTGAAATCATAGTGTTAGTATTATAAATAAATCATGACATAATAGCAATGCTATTATATTAAATAATATATAAAATATGTTATTTCTATACCTAAAAACTTGTTTTTAGTGTGTTCATTTCACAGTACATATATACTGATATTTCTAAATCATAAAAAAATACTTCTGTCATATTACATTTTTTTGCGTGTACAGATTTAGTTATGGATTTCACATTGAACAAAATGAAAATCCAGATTATTTAAAATAGACAAGGGTTCTTGCCCAAGAAATGGAGTAAATGAACTTAAAAGTTATAAATACATAATAACATTAGGAGTGGTGATCATGGAAAAATAAGTATAATCAAAATTTTAAAGATTGAAAAATGAATGTCTGAGTTGGAACATAGTAGAGAGAGTTTATAGGTGATTACTTGACTGCCAAAGGGAAACCAGATCCTGCTGTAAAACCACAGATGGTGTCTTGAAGTAGAAATAGCAAGTACTGTACTTCTAAAGCCAAGAGATTCAGATAGGGTTGAAATCTGGAGAATTGGTTGAAAGCTTTTATAAACATCTGTTTGATGCCTTCTAGATCCCCTTTCCCCAAACTATCCAACCACCCTGGTGTCCCCTATCCAGCAGGAGACTGGAATTAAGATTTTACCAAGCAAATTTCTGCATCATAAGGCATGAAGTTCAGACAGGTAGAATTTAACATGGTCAAAATGGGGCCAAAATTCATGTCTCACTGACAGGGGCTCTTATTTGAATTCAGTCATTTCTCCTGGCTTGAACCACTGTGGTACTTAACAGGACTGTCCCATTGGGTGGCTGGTAATGTTTCTCAGAGGGTCTTTGATTACCATAATGCAAAGAAAGGCATTGATTTAGCAGATGAGATGTCATCATATTACAGTTCCTTAAGGAAAACATAAAAATGGCATAAAAGTTCTAATACAGCTAATTTGTGGTTCAGCATTTGTAAATGCATATTATATGCGCTTGTAAGATTTCTATGTTAAAATTTAGAGAATTAATTATTGATAAACTATTCACAAATATAAATAAAATTTTAATTTAATGAAATAAATTTCTTATAATTATTTAATTGGTATGAATAATATTAATATTTATATTTGGGCAAAATTATTCCAACTCAAGTGGATATGGTCCATTTATAGACTTATTAATAAAAAGACCAATAAAACTGATTAGATCCTTTTGTACTACTGGTGGTTCAAAGTGGTAGGAATGTGTTAAACATCGTGCTGAAAGCAAGGGCATTTAGAAAGGTCTATAGAGAGGTCGAACATTCCTTATCCAAAATGTCTGAAACCAAGAATGATTCAAATTTAGGAGTATTTCTGAGTTACCTGTAGAGCATCGCTAACCTGAAAATTTGAAATGAAAAATACCCTAAATCTGAAATTTTTTGGGCACTGACATGATACTAAAAAAGCGAGGTTTGAGCATCCCTAATCGAAAAATCTGAAATGTACTCAAATCCAAAACAACATAGTGCTTAAAAGTCCACTTTTAAGCTACATCCATGGGGTTGAAATTCTAACTTCTCCATTCACTAGCTATGTGACTTCAGGGTAGAAATGTTACTTCTAAAGGATTATGTGTATTTAAGAAAGAAAAGGAAAGAATAAGAGGGAAGGTAAGAAGAAGGGAAGGGAAAGAAGGGATGAAAGGAAAAAAGGAGAGAAGGGGAAAAAATCACAGATCAGTGACTAAATACTAGCTATGTTATTATTTCTCACATTCAAACATTATTAATTCTCACATTTAAGCTAGATTTTGAGAGTCAACATATTCTCAAACAAAATAAATCAGACATACACATTTAAATACTGCATTGTTTCTCTGGAGTGAGAAACAGAGTGGAAACAGGGACCAAAATGTATAATAGATACTGGGAAATGGGAAGAAAATGTTCAAATGAGAAGTGGAACAAGGTGAGATGGGGGAGAAAGCACAAGAAAAAAAAGAATAGATGCAAAAATGGAAGCAAAGCTTTTTGTAAATAAGGAGGGGAAGAGGAGCCAAAGGTGGGAACCGGGGGAAAAAAGCAAGATATATCATGGGCAAGTACAAATTTCCTATGATGAATGTTATCATTATGTATATCTAAAATGTACCAAAAAATGTTTTGCTTCAAAAGGAAAAAAGAGTCAAGCAATGCAGGTAATACAGGAAAATGTAAATAAAAGCAGTAATAACTTTTAAGGAATGAAATTATTTTGCAATTACAAGATAGATTATAAGAAAAACCATATCAAAAATGTAAAATTTTCTTGGATGCTGATTTTGTAGCAGATACAGAGCAGGATCATAAAACGATTGAAAAGGAAAGTAGATAAATATCCTAAGTAGAGTGTAAGTCTAAAGATATGAAAAATGCACAAAAAGAGGTAAGAAATGTGGGGAGTGGTGCTGGAGGCTCAGTATCTTTTTGCAGAAGTAAAGAAAAAGAAGAAAAATATTAAATATCATAAAATCCTCAGAAATAGAGGATTTTTCTAGATTATGCCAAGCAGTGTGAAAAGATGCATGCCCACAAATCAGTGCGCACTTTGAGAACACAGGGTAAAGAGGAAATCCTAAAATTTTGTAAAGAAAAATAATTGGTCTCATTCAAAAGACTAATGATAAAAAATTGTTAAAAGGGACAGTGGAAAATTTAATGGGCAAGCAGTCTGAACCTACATTCTTATAGCCAAATTATTACTCAAGGAATTTGCAGCCATGCAGTGTGAAAGAAGAGGGTGGGGGTTACTTGATCATCTATGAGAAAATGCAGCTCCACAAGGGACGAATAAATCAAGATGCAAGAAGGTAGGGGATCCAAGAAATATGGGTTTAAACACAGAAGAAGAGCACAAGTACTTTCCAGGGTGGTGGTGACAAGACAAATATCAACATGACACTTTGTAGCAAGCCTAGAGAGGGCTAATCCAGGATAGAACAGAAATGTCTCAAAGGGGAAGAAAAAAGAAGAGGAAGAAAGGACACAAGATTAATTACCTAGATACTTGAATATACAAATAGCAATTTACAGTTGTTGGCACATTAAGGGGTGAACTTGTGATAGATACATAGAAAAGCCAACCAAAAAAGAGGGAGTTTATTCACTCTAGGAAAAACAAGTTGTACAAGAGAGACACAGTGATAGTACAATATACAGTACAACTATAAAGAGTCATGTGAATACTGGATACTGATTTAAATAAAATTCTAAAACTTGCTTGCAGAAGAGGAACAAATCTAAGAGAGTTAAATCTGTTTTCTAAAGAAATTGATAGATAATGTCTAAAAGTTTTAAAAAAATTAGGGTAAATAGGATGTTATTTAGAAATAATAGATAATAACCAAAAGAATGGAGAGATAGGACAAGGTAGTGCTATTTTTTTCTTACAAGGCTTATTGTCTTTTTTTTGAATGTTTGAATTGATGTGTATTATATTTATTAAATTTCACCTAAATTGGTCAAGGGACTTCTAATTTATATTAAAGATCATAAAATAGTCTCTTCTATGAATTCTCTTAAAATACTTTATATATACATACACTTCCATAAACACAATAGCATGTTATCCAGGTTATTCCCGCTGCCAGTGAAGAACAGCTTTTGCTAGTGGAACTAGTTCGTTCAATCAGTGTCATGAGAGCAGAAACTGTTATCCAGACTGTGAAAGAAGTTGTAAAGCAGCCTCCAGCCATAGCCAAGGACAAGGTAAGAAAGCTTGTCTTTGCCTTTGTTTAAAATTCAGTTTTAGAAATGATGCTGATAGGTTAGATATTTTTCTCTGTATTAGTGTCCTTTTAACCATATTGTGATTATCAAGATGACTGCACATCACTGCTATAACTTAAGTACACATACACACACAAAAAATCTGTAGTCACTATTCTGATAATTCTTATAGCTAGAGAAAGGCATTTTATTGGTCATACACATTCTTAGGGAGATTTTGCTGAATATTTAAAGGAAAAAACACAGAATCCAGGGCCCAGTGTTTATTTACCATTTACACAGCTTCCCCGTTGCTTTCTTTTCTAAATACATCTCATTTCTGTAACCTTCCCAAGTTTTAGCATATCTTGGTCCCAGAGAATGTCATTTCTTGACCATGTACAATAGTAAACTCTGTAAGGCTTCAAAAAACAAATGACAGTCTCTCCACTCATGTTGCTGTGTCTCTAATTAGGTAAACATAAAAACCTACAAATAAGTCTTTAGTCCATTTTAGTCAGTCTACTAGAATTATATGGACTTCTTCTTTTTCTGCCCTTTATTCAAGCAACAGCAAAATATCCCATTTTTCTAGAAAAGATTTACCAACTGCAAACATTAAACTTTGACACACACCAAAATTAGATGTAATCATATCTTTAAAAGAATTATTACATATAGCTGAAAATGTTGACTTTTTTCCTTTTTAAAAAAGCTTTTTCTTCAGTTGCCAAAGAAAAGAGGGTATGTGTGAGTTAATAACATCCTTATGAACTTTTTCTTTTACACAGCTGGGAATGTTTGTATATATGTAGTATAGTACTGGGAATTTAACCCAGAGCCTAAAGCTTACTAGGCAATATCTCTTAGTTATATCCCCAGCCTCCTTACTAACTTTTCAGTAATTTCCTAGCTATTTTCAAAGCACCTCTGGAGCATTTTTGTAGGATGTTTAGTATTCATGTGAAAGCTCAAGTCAGTTGCAGACAGACATTGGGCTATAGATGAGGGCTAGAAAAACAAACCAATTCTGCTCCTACATCCACTCCCTACTGAATTGTGTTATTTTTTATTGTGTAATAAGAGGGAAACCTTTAAGGAGTACAGTAGTTGGATAAAAAAGAACAAACTGACTACTGTCGGTGGACATCAGTAGCATTTGCAAAGGGAGGTAAATTCTTTTTATCATACTGTCTTTAACAGCTCTATCTTCAGCTATTAAAAATGAACCAAATTTGAACCAATTGCTAATTTAACATAAATTTATAGTTTTAAATACATGTTTAATAAAGTTTCAACTGAATTCTGATAGCATAAGCTGATTTTAAAAATTAAAAAATAATACTGGGTGGGAGAGTAGGACCATTACTCAGCGGTGGAGTGTTTCCTAGCATGCACAAGGCCTGGGATTCAATCCGTAGTAGCACACCAAGAAAAAAAAAAAGATTAATCCTGATGCTTGCAGAGTGAATGATCATTTCATAGTCATTGGTGAAATGTCAACTTTTGATATGTGTAAGGCAGGGAACTTAAGAATTGTTCATCTATTTTTAACTTTTAAATAACTTAAGTATGAATTTACCCTACTAAATGAAAGAGATACATGGGTCCTGCTTTTTAAAATGATAGACTGGCAAAAAGATACAGAGTATGTACAACAAAGACAAAACAAAGGCATTTTTATTCACTATAAAATTGTTTTCTTTTGTTTATAGAAACATCTTTCTTTGGAAGTCTGCATGCTTCAGTTTTTCTATGCTTATATTCAGAGGTAAGATTACTAACATTGATCATTCTTTTCTGCATTTACAGTGTATTAAAGTTAAGAAATATAGGAAGAAAAGAATGTGACTTCCTTCAAGAAGTTGCCAGGGTTTTGATTTTTTGTTTACCTAAAACTAAACCAAATGCAAGAAACTAAGGATCATTTATGGATATATTAATTATTTTAGTTTATGTGCTGCTGAAGCTGAAGCGAGCACTGGATATATTAATTAAAATCGTACATATCCTAATGTCCCTGCTATACAAATACTACAAGCCAATAACTGGTTATTAAAACAGCTAACCAAAAGAAAATCATTTAAATACAAGTAAAAGGTTGAACTTACCTTTGAATTCATGCTTATTGCCACTGAATATTTTATTAGTGAACCTGCAGCAATACAATTTGCCTTGTTTTTAAAAATTAGAAATAACATGGAAATGTCTTCTTGTTTGGTGTTCCGTTTTATATTTAGCAGGCCTCTGAATAGAAGTTAATGGATATGAGTTTTGGTAAACTTCATTCTTGCAAACCTGAAACTTAATCCTTCCTTATAGGAAGTTCCTTTTTCTTTTTTTTTTTTTTTTTATGGTACCAGGGATCGAACTCTGGTCCTTGTGCTTGTGAGTCAGGCGCTGGAACCACTGAGCTAAATTCCCAGCCCTAGGAAGTTCCATTTTAATTACCAAGTTTGGTATCCATTTGGGATTTGTGACTAACATTTATAAAATTAGGTTATTTCATATATTAAAATGATTGAAACTTAAAGCAAGGATTGCCCAAAATCTGATTTTAGATACAGAGAGATGTTAAAGTTACACTGAAAAAAAAAAAAAAATTAATATGTGTACAGGTGGGAGACTGATAATCAGTATAGATTGAGAACCCTCCCTAACATGGGATGGAGATTTACAGGTTAAGTGAAATAGATCAGGATAGGGAATATTTGACATTTATTAAACTGAGAATTATTACAGTCGTATTTTCCTTTTAAGAGTCCATGTGATAACAGATTTCTAAAGCAAGATGTCTAGATTAAGAAATTGCACTATCTTTAGTGTGTTTAGTCATCTTATATATGAGTAGAAAATGTAAAGCCTTTAGAAGTTTTATTTAACTGTCATCTATAAAAGAATGCTTCAGAATAAGTAATGGAAAATATGTTAGAAACTTCAGGAAAATATAAAGAAAATTCATTTTATTGTGAGTTTCTATATATACAAACTATATTTGTGTTGCAGAATTCCAGTGCCCAGTTTAGTAGATAGCTGGGCATCACTGTTGATACTTCTAAAAGACTCTATTCAACTGAGTCTTCCTGCCCCTGGACAGTTTCTTATACTTGGGTAAGTAATTTCACTTAATAATATTATTTTGAGGGGCTAGAGATGTAGCTCAGTGGTAGACTACTTCCTTAGCAAGCACAAGGTCCTGGCTTCAATTACCAGTATCACCAAAATACACACACACACACACACACACACACACACACACACACAAATTTTGAAGAAAAGCACGTTGCTGAATAAGTGTTTTGGCTAACCATGTGGCCTCTACCTACTCACGGGGTTCTGAAAACCAGAAATAGAAGGCGTGTAAAAGTAAGTGAAGGAAGGGAACAGTGTGTACTTAAACATACACAAGATATAAGTGTGCTGAAATGAAACTGACACAACAGTACTTAGGCCTGGGGAAGTGCAGGGTGAAAAGGTCTGCGAGGATGAGTAGCCTGGTTAAAGGAGCATTTGAATCACCGAGAGGTGGAGCCTTTGAACTGGATGCTGAACATGAACATGCTTGGAAAATTCATTTTCTGTTCATGTCTTGGAGTTTCTTGATCTATGCTAAAAATTTTGTATGATTATTTGATAAATCCCTGTAACCTTTACTTAACAAATATCATTCTGCCATAAACAATGCCTGGTTTTTATTCACCATTATGAGTTCATAATGTGTTCCTAATAAATACTTGTTAAGCGAATAGAGGTGATAGAACCAGAAAGTCTTTGTAGAGACAGGTGGGGAAGGAGACTGAGATTAACTACATTTGTATGGTTTTGTGATAGGGTAGGGCAGTCAGTGGAATAAGGGTAGATGAAAAGGGAGATGGGAGTTAGTTGGGGACGGACCTTGGGTTTTAAAGAATTTTGTCTTGGGGTCGGGGATTTAGTTCAGTGGTCCCACCGCCTGCCTTGCAAGCATAAGGTCCCGAGTTTGATCCCCGTTACGAAAAAAATCATAATTTTGTCTTGGTGGGTGGAAGTAATTGTGTTGAAGAGGGACATGACTTGTGCAAATTTATAGTATGATTTGATCAGAGAGGAAAGAAAGTGAGCTAGAAATTATTTTTCAAATGGGAGGTAGGGAAGGGTATGAACTAGTGGTGATGGGATTCAAAGAGCAAGACAAGAAAAGGGCTCAGCAAAGGAGAGGAAAAAGCTGGGGATTTAGATCAGTTGATGCCATGCCTGCCTCACAAGTGGAAGATCCAGAGTTCAAGACAGAAAAGGAAATATCAGAAAATTAGAAGAAAGCCAGGTTGATTCAGTGTTTCAAAAACAAGGGCGGTTAAGGAAGATGAGGAATTTTAAGAGGCCATGTTTGCTGATGATTTGGTGACATTGGTAATTTAGGAGAGAGAAGCTTATGAGGTAGTAATTATATACAAATGTTAATGGCAAAAAGTAAGAGTGAGAACCTTAGAAGATATTTGATCATGAGAACAAGGAAAAGTGAGAAGGTAGCAGGGGAAAATGTGCCTTAGAAACTAAATGGTAAATGGTAACGAAAAGGCAAGCTTCAAGATCTTAACAGCAAAGACTCTGAAGTTGTATTTTTCCCTAGGTTCAGATCTCAACTCCTTTATGTATTGTTCTGTGGTCTTTAGCAAATTATTTAAACTCCCCATCTATAAAATGAGGGTGCTAATAATGCCTACCTCTTAAAGTTGTTAGGAGGAGTAGATGAGTTAACAATTGTGAAATTCTTAGATCAGTATCTGGCCATAACAACTGTTATCTAAGTGGGGAGTGATAGAAGATTCTAGAGAGAAAAATGCTTATTGATAGCACAGATTCTACAGACATTTGGAGGAGATGAAGAAAAGAAAATGGGATAAGAGGGCCAAAAATGGATGTGTTTTCTCTAAGACTTTACTACTCAAAGTTTGGTCCTCCAGCTAGCCACATAGAAAACAGGAGGCTTGCTGCAAGTTAGAGGCCAGCCTAAACTACATTGCAAGACCCTGTCTCAAAAAACAAAAAATTTCAGGCATCATAATAATCCCTGGATTCTCATGCTATTATTTTGAAAACTATCTAAACCAACAAGCTGAAGTTTGAGAATCTGAAGATTTAATGAAAAGAGCAGTAGACTGAGTTTCTGCAATTCCTGGATCAAAGATTTTTGTTTGTTTTTTTGTTTTTCAGACAGGGTCTCACTATGTAGTGAGTGATCCTCCTACCTCAGTCTCCAGAGTGCTGGGATTATAGTTGTGTGCCACCACACCCGGCTGTGAATGATTTTAATGAGAGATAAACATAGACACACTGGAAAAATAACAGCATTCTCATAAATATTTCTGATTTTTCTTATCTTGAATTCCAACTTCATATCTTTCTCTTGCTCATACATCACTAGGAATTGAAACTAAGGCCTTCCTATTGAGCTACATCCCCAGGCATTTTTTTTTTTTTTTTTTAAGAACAAGGTCTTGCTAAGTTGCACTGGCTGGGCTCAAACTTTCCAGCTTGAGATCCTGATGCCTCAGCCACCTAGGTGCTGAGATTATAGACATAAGCCACCATACCAACCTCCCAACCCTCATTGCTGTGACATGCAGCTCATAAGTAAACCTCTCCCAGGTTTCCAATCAGTCAGACAAGATTATTATATGCCTATCTAGCTCAGAGTTTTAAGACTTATAGAAAGCATATATTCATATATATACATACACACACATATATACATATATATATATATATATATATATATATATATTTTTC